CGAGCCGAAAGCGCCTACTTTTCGTCCATGAGTCGAGGAACGATGATATTGTGACGATGAATTGTCTCCCCTTGTGCTTCCTCAGAAAGTAAGAACAACTTCTCGTTTACGTTGAACCAATCAATATAGTAATCTATAACCGAAGAACCAGTTTCATACATATACTACCGAGGGGGCATGCGTTGATACTAGTTCTCCCGCATCACTATCCAGTCTCTATACTTCACCACCCAATTAATCTCTTTTTTGTCTCGTGTATCAATGTTATACATACTTTCGAGATTCATAGGTGCTCCAGGAATATATCAAATGCCACTCAACAATACCATAACATATAAGAGGCACAACCACCACCCATACATCTAATAGCTCGCTCAAGTGAGGCGGGATGCTTGCCCTTATTTCATCAGTCGAATATGGTAACCATTGGAACTAAAACAAAAATATATATTTCTTATAAAATGATATTATACTTATATAAATATAATTAAATAAAAATATTAAAATTTAAAAGTGTACATTTAAAACAACTTTTTGATTAACTTTTTGAACAAAAATATTTCATGATGATTTTTTCTTATTGATGACCACCTATTTAATATAAAATTATATTTCATTATATAGTTAAAAATTATTTATAAACGAATTCAGTATTGAAATTACTTTAATAATGATAGGAAGACAAATGGTTCATTCACGATCGAACATAAAAAATGCATGTAATACCACACTCATGATTGGAGAAGAAAGAGACACTCACCAATAGCAGTTTTACTATAATGTTGTCAAACACATTTCTCTAAACATAAATGTCAAAACTGTGGAGCTCCAAATCAATGTGTCGGCTACTTCAAAATCAGTGAGGTGATGCAACCACATATAATGAACTTGATTGCGAGATTTGTCGACATCAAGATCCCTCCTATGATTTATAATATGTATGCCCAACCAAATGCTTTTGCCTCATCATAGGAACATTTTTTGTTCAACTCTTCAAAAGTGGATTTCAACCATGATAATGGTATTTGACCACCATTGAACCTAATCGGGGAAGCTCCATGATACTCTATGCGCAAAGAATGTCGATCACCATCTACCACACCACAAATAATAATTTCATCTACTGGAAGCCCCAAATGCATTGAAACATCCTCCAGGGTAATGGTGCACTCCCCACATAGAAGATGGAACGTGTGTATCTGGTTTCCACCTCTTTATTAATGCAGAAATAAGGGTGGGTTCAAGTTTACAGCCTCCAACAATTTTGGCTATCTAACCAAATCCAGCCCTAGATAAAATACCTCCAGATACGACGTAGTGTGTTCATCTTAGTGTTACGAACAAACACTTTTAATATACCATAATTTTTTAATTAATAAACATTCTACTAATTATAATTTGAAATGATATTAACAAAATTTAAATTAATAAAATATTAAAAAATAACATAATTTTATATTTTTACCTATCGGCAAATTGACTCGAAATATGATTTGCATCAATTCGCAAAATCTCGCCTTCCATTTTATAACTGCATAAAATAAAATAAAAATAACAATTACAATTACAATTACAAATAATTAATAAAATAAAAAAATCAATAAAATATTAAAATTAAAATAAAATTTATACCTGTAAAATTTTTTGACAAACCTACTTAAAAGGAAATTCTAATAAGAAAGATGAGAGAAATATAAGATTTTTTGTGTGATTTGTTTGAAGATGGGGAGGGGTTTATATGGGGGGAGGGAGTTTAGGCAGGAACCATATACAAAAGATATGGGCGGGATGAAAGGCGCCTCCCAGCTGGGATGAAAATCCCATAAAGGCGTGCGTCTTGCAATAGGCCTTTTCACGTGATGTCAACTCAACTAAAAAATGTGCCCTTACAACGTGCCTCCCAATTGGCGTGAAAATCTCACAAAAGTGCACGCCCTGCAACGCGTCATTCCACATGGCGCTAACTCAGCTAAAAAACACACGCCCAAAAACGTGTCTTATTGTCAACTCAGCAAGGACAACACACCCCTCCCCTATTTTGTCAGAAAGAGTGTTATTTTGGTACATATTAAAAAAAGTGCTAAATTGATTTTTTTTTTGGTGTTTTAAGATAAAATTACTGACTTTTTGTAACATCTTATTTAGGTAAATGAAGTGAAAATAATAATAATAAATGAAAGTAAATAATTTCAAGAAAAAGACCAAAAGTTATATTATTGGATAAAATCATCCATAGATAAATATGATTTTATTGAAGTCACTTTTGATGATGTTTTTAATATATATATATATACATATAATAAATTCAAATTTAATAAGAGCCGGATAATTTTCTTTTAAAAGTAATCATGTTTTTATTTTATAATTAAAAATGAAATTCGAATATTTGAATATATGTAGAAACAAATAAAACAGATTTAAATAGTAAATAATTATCATTTACAAATATTTTTTGAATGCTGAATAGTCAAAAAAATTCAGAAATATTTAAGGGGTAAATTACGCTTTTAGTGCTTAAATTATCATTTTAGTCCATTTTATTATCTATTTTTTTTAAATCATGCCTAAAGTTTAGTTTTTATTTCATTTTAGTACGCCACGTTAAAAATTTAATGTTAAGGTTTGAAAAAGAAATAAAAGTTTAGGTACTAAAAAGGACCAAAATTGATAGTTTAGGTATTAAACATGTTAAATTTTTAACGGAGAGGGTACTAAAATGAAATGAAAACTAAATATTAGTATGGTTTATAAAAATTAAAAGTTTAAGTACAAAAACGGATCAAAATGATAGTTTAAGCATTAAATGTATAATTTATCCATATTTAAATTTACGTCCAAATAGTCATCTTAGATTGAAGGAAAAGACGGGCCGAATGGTCTTGACCTATAGGGTTGATTTGGGCTCATAAGATACAATTGAAAAAGGATTTGGGTGATGGTCAAGGAGGCAATGGACATCCTCTCATTCAATCCATCCAATTTGGTGCTTTAAATTTGGCCGGGACAATGACGGGGCTTTCGTCGGAAAGCGTATGCCCTATCATCGGCCGCTTTTTAACTTACAATATGCCTCTGCTGCTGTTTTCTTTTTACACGCACAAAGTGAATAAGAAAATCAAATTCCAACACCCAATGGCTGAACCCATCCAATCGAAGCCACTGCTATGACATCATTGTGTACCTGAAACGTTTAGGTATAGAATGCCTCAACACTGAAACACTGACATGTTAAACTTGTATATTTCACTGACATGTAGTATCTATGAGTTTTGACTATAAGGAACTTGAACCTAAAGTGTTGGCATATATTTTTTTTGGTAAGCTATGAGTTTATGATCTGTTTGTTTGGTTGTAATTGGTTTTTTGGAAATTGAATACTAGAAAATAAATTATTAGAATTTGAATTCTGGAAAATGAATTACATTTCTGGAAAACGTTTTCCAGAAAATATTTTCCGTAAAATGAATTATATTTTTTTTAAAAATATCTGAAAAATATTTTTACGATGTTTGGAAGATGTTTAAATCTTTTTCCACTAGTTGATGAGTTTTAAAAAAATTATTTATTACAAATATTAAATACAATAAATAATATTATTTATCATTAAACTTAATATTATTATTTTTAAAATATTAAAATAATTTATTTATTATTAAATATTATTTTTATAATTTTATTAATGAAAATAATAATAAAATAAAAATATTATAAATTATATTAATTATTTATTAAAGTAATAATGTTATGTTATATTTTAAAAATATTAATTATTATATTTTAAATATCTTTATTAAAATATTATTAGATTATTATATTAATATTAAATATATAAATAATATTATTCATTATTAATAATTTAATAATATTAGTTATATGAAATTAATAAATAATATAAATTTTATTAATGATTTATTATATATTATTAAAATAAAAATATGATATCTTATATTATTATAATATAATTGATTATTTTATTATAGCATTAAAAGTATAATATTATGTTATTATAAATATTAATAAATATATTTTAAATAATTTAATAATTAATATTTTGATTAAAATGATATTAAAATATTTTATTAATATTAAATTCATAAAATAAAATTATTTTGAGTATTTATTTTTTGAAGTGAAAAGTTTGGAAAATGACTTACGGAAAATCAGACTTTAAGTCATTTTCCAGAAAATACAAAGGAAATTTTGTTGACCAGAAAAATGTTTTATATTGACCAACCAAACACTGGAAAACATTTTCCGGAAAACGAATTACGTGAAACAAGCATGGGAAAACATTTTCAGAAAAACGAATTACGTGCGACTATAGTCGTTGGCTATCACATCTGTGATGAAGCCTAAACTTTTTAACTTGCACCTTTTTGACTCCCTGAATGCGATTTCGACATCTATTTAACTGGCAAACTCCTTAGTCTTCCCTAATTGATGATCTACTCTTTGATTTCATCCTCCTATCCTCATGGTCCACTATTCGATGAGCCTGGAACTGGATTATGTTGGTCGACTCGTTATTCTCTCGTGGTCCACCATTCAAATTGGTCATGCGTCCACTGGAGCTATACCACGTCAGCCCATCCGTTAAGTTTTTAATGGCGGAGTAATAAAACGAAACAAAAACTAAACGTTAGGTATGACTTTGAAATAAAATGAAAATTTAAGTACTAAAACAAATCAAAACTAATAATTTGGATACTAAATGCGTAATTTATCTTATATTTTTAAGATATGAGCGAATATTTAAATTTATTTTTCACTAGATTAATTTATTTAATTCAATTAAAATATATAAAATTAAATTTTCACTAGATTCGATCCAACAAACCACCTCTAATTTCCACATCTAGTTATTGGGTTTTGATGCTTCTTGTTAATTGTTGGGTTGAGACATGAGAGATAAGAAAGCAGTCAAATATTCATGGGAAAGAGTTACCCATCTCTCTCTCTCCTCAATCCTCATGTTTATATAAACCCTTGGAAATGGGCATCTCTTGTTTCCTCACAGCCCTTCAAACACTCAACAATTTTTTCCTTCTGTTTTTCAGTTCTAAAAATTGATTCTTTACATGGCGGCCTTTTCATTTCAGTCTCACCCTTTTCTTCTGGACTCCATTTCCTTACCAAACACATCCACCATCAAAGTGTCTGGTTTTGATGGGAACATCAATCCCCACTGTTTCTCGCAACTTTACCAGGAGTCGTCCCCTGTTGGTCCTATGTTCCATGAAAGCAGCTTTGTCGATGACGGTTCCAAGGCTGTTCATAGTGACAATGAGTTCTCGACCGTCACGACTAGAAAACAGAGCACCGACGAGCACTCCACTGTTGTGGATAAGCTCGAGAGTGGCGAGCAAGTAACTCAGAAGAAAAGGACAAGAAATGGGACAACCTTGAATTCTGCACAATTTAAGGTAATCTAAAGAAAACACACTTTTCTTTCCTGAAAGAATCCATGTTTCAACTGTTTTCTCTTTTTTTTCAATTGACCCATCAAAATTTTCCCATTAGGGTGCAAAAGAAGGTAAAACCAAGAGGCAAAAGAAAAACGAAAAGAAAGATCCCAAAGCTGTTAAAAAGGACCAAAAGAAAGCCTCCGAAGAGCTCCCCTCAGGCTACATTCATGTTCGAGCCAGAAGGGGTCAAGCGACCGACAGCCACAGCTTAGCAGAAAGGGTAACGATTTTATTTAACTAATTCGTTTCTTTTATAACCATCGATATTCGACTTATTAATCGTATTAAATATTACAGGTAAGAAGACAGAAAATCAGTGAAAGGATGAAGACATTAGAGCGTCTGGTTCCAGGGTGTGACAAGGTGATTGGAAAAGCACTCATGTTGGATGAAATTATCAATTATGTTCAGTCCCTTCAAAATCAAGTTGAGGTAAACAACTAACAAATAATCTGTAATACCATCATCTAGAGATCAAACAAGCAATGAATAATCTGTTGTTTTCTTTGTCTGTTTTCTTTATATAGTTTCTGTCAATGAAGCTTGCTTCTTTGAATCCCATGTTCTATGACTACGGAGTGGACCTGGAAACATTGATGATCATACCAGATGTAAGAAAAACATGTTTCTTTTTAGAGTAATTATTATAACCCATAGTTTTCCATGACTTAAGCTGATGAAATCTTTGTCTCTCTGACATTATTATTGTTTTTCTTAGAGAGTTAACAGTACAGAAACATCCCCACCACTTGCAATGGCGCCATCTCTACAACAGCCCAACCCCATTCAGACAACTATTGTCCCATCTCATAACTATCCTCTTCTGGATGTTTCAGCTGCACTGTTTCTTCAACATGGGCAAAGGCCCAATGTGTTCTCGAACCCTCAGGTATTATTATTTTCATTTATAACTGAATATTTATATAAGAAATAGTATTTCATGCACGCTAACTATCCGGCATCTTTTTTTCAGGATAATGGTAGTTTATTGTGGGACGTGGAGGACCAAAGAAAAAAACTTTTCAACTCATCTGAGCTCAACGAAAGCTTATGTTCTTTCCATTAATATTAATGCAGAAAGAGAAAGAGAGAGAGAGAGAGGGAGTTGCCCTACAAACATCTGGTAGGAAAACCCTCATGTCTTGTTCCTTTTTCATGCAATAAAGTAAAAAAAAAATCAATGTGAATTTACATGAATTCTTTTTCAGAGAAAAAGAAAAATCAAAAGAAGGCTTTCTGGGTTTTCTGCATAAGTTTAAAGCAGCATCTGAAGATGAATAAAGGGGGCAGCTTTGCAAGGCAACATTCAATGGAGGAAGAAGAAGAAGATAAAGGACAGATATAAAAACCAACAAAAAAAAAGACCATACCTTTCTGTAGATCCGTTGGTTCTGTCTATCTTGACTCTTACCTCTTTATATGTCACTTTCACGCACAAATTCCTAGACCCTACGCCTGTTTTACTGTGTTTTGGCTAGAAGAAAAACAAAGAACCATTATTGTTTTTTTACGTAGTAAAAAGTGGTATGTAATATAAAAATCAACGTTATAAGGTTATTTTCCTGTTTAGGGTTTTTTTACGATTTTTCTGTTATTGCAGTTATTTTATATTTCTTCGAGGGCCATTTTCGTTCCACCTACTGAATTCTAGGTCAAATAGAAAGGTGAAAATAATAAAGAGTACGACATGATATTGAAATTATATTAAATTTTAGGGTAAAGTACACAATGGTCCCCAACTATAGGGAAATATTTTGTTGAGTCCCTCGATTATAGAGTACTATTTTATCTAGTCATCTGACTATTGAAGTTATAAAATAGTATTTCAATTATTAGGCGGTGTTTTATTGAGTTTAGAACATATGAATAGTCGAATAAATATTTTATAACTGTTAATAGTGTAGAGATTCAACAAATCAGTATCCTGTAGTTGATAGATGATTTTGTAACTTTTAATAGTCAGAGGACTCAGTTAAGCAATACCCTATAATTGAGGGACTATTTGTATACTTTACCAAAAAATTTAAATATTTTTTAAAATAGTGATTATATTATAATAGGATAACGTACACAAATTCCCTAACTATACTGTAATATTTTATTAAGTTTCTCAATTGTTAAAAGTTATAAAATCATCCTTTAACTATAAAATGTTACTTTGTTAAGTTCATCGACTATTAAAAGTTACAAAATGGTTATTCGACTATTCATTATGTTCCAAAGTCATCCTTTTTTGTTAATAATTTGGCGGTTATAAGTTAGACGTTAACAAAATAATTGAGATATGAAATTCGTTTGAGATTCTGATATAAGATTTTATTATATCACAATCAAAATGTTAACATTCAGCTTAGAATATTGTCCATTTTCAATAAAAAAGTACGAGTTTGGAACATAATGAGTAATCAAGTGACCATTTTGTAATTTTAATAGTCGAATGACTCAACAAAGCAATACTCTATAGTCGGAGGACTATTTTGTAACTTTTAATAATAGAGTACCTTAGTAAAGTAGTACCTTAGTAAAGTAGTACCCTATAATTAGGGGACCATTTATGTACTTTACCCATTATATGATTATTTTACGAAATTTACAATAAACAGGCACGGCTAGGTAGGTTCTGATGCTCTGTGGTCGACGTGACAAGTTGTGCGACTCTGGGTTATTTTCGAGGTGGAATCTTCTTGTGGTTTAGCATTTACAGGGGATTCAGCTTCATTTCTGAGATGAGTTTGGACCAATTACATCATTTCATTAAATGTTTTGTCATTTTAAATAAGACTTTTTTATACAAAAAATCATTAATTTAACTTGAATTATTCTGTTTCAATAGCCACTTGCTCGGTTCTTTCTATTGCAAGTTGAGGTGTTGAGCATCTAAACAGTGTAGGTTAATAATTGGTCTGAAATATAAAACAATATATATTGTCAGTTTTATATATATCATTTTGACTCATATTTGTAAATAGATGTTAGACAATTTTCACTTCTGTGACCAAACATATCCATGGCATGTCTGGTTATGGATCAACAAAATCTTCAACACAACATGCAGTTGCTGTCCAAGCATCAAAATTTCTGTTCATCGATGGCAATGTTAGAATAATCTATCTTCGTATCTAATGATCATGAACGCGACATGAGAAAAATAATACCACATAACACATATAAATTATATAAATATGCGGATTCAAAAATAGTTTTGATTTCAATTATATCATGGTCCCGATGCTTTTTGTTAATTGGTTTGAGGAAGATAACGCAATTTGTTTAAATTAGAATATTTGGATTTAAAAGATGATACTTGAGAGATGAATATTGATTTTGATGATCATAGTGTTTTCTTTTTCTAAGGAAACAATGAATATTAAGAAGCAAATAAAGGTGGACAGTCAAACTATATATATATATTCAGTTCAGGAACACAACTAGGGAATATGAATAGATAATGGAATGAAATAAAGTGTTTGATTTTAAAATCTGAAAGGAATTGAAGCTCATTTTTATAAGCATTTAAACTATCAGGGTTCAAAATTGTTATTAAACAAAAACGTTTGAGGGCTACGTCCCATCCAACTCTCTATAATGGACATGGAATCGGGAAAAGTGGGTATCATGATTTAATATTCTTACTAGTTAAATATACCCCCGCAATAATCAATCAAAGCTTTGATTCTTAAATGATACTAGATTTTGGGTCTAATTACATGTTTCATCCCTCTACTTTATAAAAATGGACAAGTTATACCTCTACTTTAATTATGAGTTTTTTACAATTGTTTTAATAGTATAAAGTGATTACAATGTAGTATTTGTATATAATCTTTCTTAATCATTGAGAATTCATATAAACCTTATAAACGCAAATGATCGAACCCAGAATCTATAAAAAAGAATAATACTTAAACAACTAAATTTAATTAATTTTCAAAACGAAATAAATATTAGACAAATTAACTGTGTCCAGTAGAGGAAATTGCAGTGCTGCCATCTGGATAAAGAGGTGTTCTATAAGCATGAGAAATGGAGTAAATGCTCTTCTTATATGTAAGCTCACCAACTGATCGATCTTGTTCTTCAGGGTCCCTTGTGTTTCTCTATTTATTTCATTACTATAATTTTGGTCTGTATATTATTGTCAAACATTGGAATTGTCCTCATCTATCATATGTAACCTCTTTTAATTAATTAAGGTTTATACTTACTTAATAATGTCTGTAAACAGCCACACAAAAATATATATATTTTTTATTTTAAAACTATATAAAAAGTAATACTAAATTAGTGACAGCAATAAAATCTTTTGATTCAAACATAAAAAAGAGAAGAAAAATACATGCAGGTCCCAAAATTTAATTACGATGATAATGATGATGATGTTGTGTTATATATGCATGACCTATCAAAATCGTGAAGGAGACATGACTAACATTGAAAGACCCATCATGGGTCATTTACATGGCCATGCTAAAACTCTTTTATCATAGGGGTTTCTTAGGCACGATAATATAAAATAATATGGATGCTAACCATACATCCCATGATGGCCATGTGAATGAATGACCCAGATTACTATATATTATTGTGTCTCCAAATTAATTGGAATTAATTAATTAACAACTCTACTACTCGTACATCCCTGAAATATACCAGTCGGAGAAGCTTTCATTGACTTGGAGGCATCAGGATAGGGTCCAAAATAAAATAAAAAAATAGTAGTAGATTGAATAGTTGACAATATATATCGATATTATAAAAATTATTGAATTGATCAAATTATTCATTTTTAAACGTAAGTACTTTTGTTCTATTTATATTATGGATATTTAAATATAATTAATTAAATGCATGCATTTAAATGATTTGGCTGGTGGGAAAGAATTAATTATCAAAACAGTGTTCTTTGTACTTCATATTTAAAAATTTTATGTTTTAAATATGTTATCAAAATAATTTTAATTGGAAGATTTATTAATTGATTGAGTAGTAAAAAAATTTATATTATTTTATTTTATATAAATTTGAATCTTGATATTTACTTTGAGAACGTAAACTCTCTACTTAATAAAAAAATTATTAAGCGTTTCTTTAACGCTCTTGTCCGAATACAAAAGGACCATACCAGCATGGCTTGGTCGCTTCTTTGTCTCTTTTTTTGTGTGGATAAATCAAGTATTATTATCCAAGAGCAGAATCTGCTATAATATACATCAAGGTTCGAAACAAAACAAGCTACAAACAAGAAGATCAATGATCAACTATACCCCAATGATTGCATAGAGAAATATTAACACTATCGACTCTATTAATAGTCCTACCTCTTAGTTGTAAGCTTACAACAACAACAACAACAACAAAACCCTATTCCCATATGCAATGGGATAAGGGGGAGGTAGGGTAGTAGGCTGCCCCCAATACCAAGTTGAGAGCAGCTTCCGTGGAAGACCTCCGGCAGTTAGAAAAATTAAAAGTAAAGATAGAAATGCTTTAAGAATCGCTTTTGCAGACCTTGTTCGGTTTTGGAACACCCTTTTGTTTCTCTCTTCCCATAATGTGTAAATGAGAGCATTGAGAACTATCTTCATGATTATAGTGAGCAATGATTTTCCCTTCCAATTAGAACTAGCCGATGCTATAAGAACCTCCCATGAACAAGCAGTAAAACGTAAACCAGAAAGTGAGAAGACTGATGTCCAAATTGTAACAGCAGTTGGGCATTTTAAAAATAAATGGTCCCTTGTTTCATAATACTTATTCGGAATCCATGATCTCTTGATATAATTTTTGATAGACTCAATGGATCTACCATAATCAAACTAATATCAGTCGATCACATCCACTTAGCTTACCAACCTACAAATAGTTATTATGACTCTACGCCTAACATCAACAATAAAAATCACTATAAAACCTATCGATCAAGACCGATAGAAGGATTTGAAAATAATATACCTTAACACTGATCAACGGTCATTATGTACTATCACCGATTGTGACTCTTTGTCCAAACAAGAAGAGATGAACCGCGTGTATCCATGGTAAATCATTTGTTCCCATGAGAAACAAGAACGCGGGGACCATAACCAAAGCAAATGTCTGCCTTGGAGTCTCATGGTATGTCTGATTCAGAGCAGAAGAAATATATTTGTAAAATGAGCATCTCTCTGCAAGTGTCCGGGACAACAGCAGAATGGTCCCTTCATACAGTACAGTTCTAACATGAATACTTCAGATTAGTCCTTTGAAGTTCAGGGCCAAAAGCAGCTGAGCTAACTTAGAATAGCAATTGGCTCATGTGTGCTTTTAGGTTCGATATAAATGGTCTTGGACTGGTCTTGACCCACAGCACCAGGCTTCGTCTGGACGGTACGTAGGAGCTGGTGGACCACCGAGAGGTGAAATAAATATTAAAGGGTACATGTTCGGAGTAGACCTGATGATGGGTTATATCGCTTTGATTGTGCTGCATTCACATGAGATCCAAATGGGAAACGTTTCAAACGCATGACAAGTTCATTGACCCAACATGTAGGACAATGGTGTTTTTGCTTGCAA